TATTATGATTAACAAAGAGTTTGCCAAACCTTGCCCATTTAAAGATGAGGGGACTTAAACTCCAAAATTCCCAATGGCTGGCGGGGGATTTCTGGGAGTTGAAGTCCACTCATCTTAAAGTGGCCAAGTTTGGATAACACTGATCTAGCATGTAAGAGAGGCTATGGGAGCCTGGGGTTTGGGCACAAAAGCATTTTTGAATATTATATCCCAATCATACTTTTTACAGAGAAAAACACCTGTAAAAGATGCATTCACATAAAATAAGTCCCAAATAAGCGAAATAGAAAACCATGGACTGTTTAAAAAAGCTTTGCAAACAGCAGAATGGACTTCTGTTGCATACCCCTCTTCTTATTTTTATGTTTTACATTCAGAGCATCTTTAATTCCTTATTTGAACATGGAAACTAAAACTACATTCAAATTGGTCCTTATTTTTTTCTTGTGAAGGCAAACATTTTGTACAACCAAAATATGTAATATGTTATATCCATAGTTCAGAAATATTCAATTTTTTATCTTCCTATGAATGTTCCTCTCAACATAATCCAGATAATTTCTTTCATATCACTAATTTATTTCATCTATTTGAAGGATAAAGCTATGTGGCAGAACCATCAACCTGATTAAAATATTCTGGGATTATTTTACTGCAAATTATGTGTCCATTTGTAACTAAATATTCACCTGGCCTGGTTTATTGCAAGTGATTCCTTGGATTTCCAAGTAGCTGAAAGTTAATTCTAGCTGCAATTCAGAGAGAATAGCAAATTATTTGTTATATCAAAACATGGATTAAAATACATATTAAACAAAGATTAAATTATTAACCATATAATTTACATATACTTTATTATAATGTTTTATTCCTGAAGTATCATTCACTTAAATGGCACAAAACATACACAAAAAATGACCCAGGTCTAATGGGCTAAAATTTTACACATAGGTAACAGAGGAAGATGGCAGCAGAGATAATAATAAAGGAAAAAATGTACATTTCAGGGTCTGTCTGTATAAATATATACTCTGTTCTACCTGTTTAATCCTGACATGATCTGATTTGTTCACTGTCAGGCTTCACTCCCAGATAGGAATGAACCACTTAGGCAAGGTCACAAGAGAGCCAAGCACTTTAGAAGAGTAATAGTTATTGAAGAAGAAGGAAGACATCAAAGAATTTCAACAACTGATGTGACTCAAGAATAATCCATCATTTGAGATCTTTTACATGTGGTTTTCCTTGCTGTTCCACGTAATAGACTATCTGGCCCCCTTTTCAGCACACTTGCCCATCTCCTTCTGTCCATCATTTTTATAACTATCTGATTTGCTATAATTTTGTTTCTCACTGACAGTGGGAGAACTAATGCTCATAATTGCATACCCAATCACATGCTTACACCAAAATAAATAGAATATGGTAGGCAACTTCATGATATGTATTTAACAGCATGTGTAGTTTGGCCTTTAGTTATACTCACTTTCAACAGGGCATAAGGATTAGTAGATTTTGAGAAGGAATGTGAAAGAAATGGCAAGTAGCATTACCACAGTATCTATCTGTAAAATACACTATTTATATATGTTTATTTATTTATAGTATTTATAGAATGGCCTACTTAGACAGCTAAAAGGTAATCAACTGTGGACAGAATTAGAGATACCTTGAGGATAAATAAAAGCAATAATATTGCATCAATTGTGTCTAAGGCAGCAAATATAGAGAAAACTATAGAAGTTTACTAATAGGTGGAGATTAAGAAGAAAGGAGCATAACCAAAGTTGTGTGTTCTGAAGGATTCTCTACTTAGCACAAGGGTGAAAAGAGTGAAAAGCAGCTGACTGCAAAGAATATGTCCCGAAATCTACTCATTGTTGGAGACTGAATGACTATTTCTTGCTGAATAAGCAAGGCAGCCAGGTTCCTGGGAGCTAGCTGACTGAACCAAACAAACAGAGCAAACAGGAGTTTTCATCAAATCAACAGTGTATCCTTGCCTGATCAGAAAAGGAAGCAAAAAGAAAAAAAAAAGCCTTCTACTGGCATGGAAAAACAGAAATACAGATGAAAAGGCAGAGTCTGCAGTATTAACATGCAATGCTTCTAGCATTATGCTTCTGTTGCAAACAACCTGACATATTTGCAGCAAGTGCTAACTTATAGCAGTACTTGAAAAATTCGAGTAACAAGTGACCACACCTCGGCTAAAGAGTAGATTTATTTATTGATTGATTTAATTTAATTTAATTTGTATGCCACCAATTCATGACAGCTAACATCAGTAAGTATATAAAACAAAGGACATGCTAGAACAGACAGGATGGAAATCTCTAAAATTGAAAGACAAGAAAACATCACTCCATAAGAAAGAAAAACAATTAAAGAGGCCAACTCAGTGAATGATTAGAAACAAGAGACACAGATGATATTCTGCACAGCTGGAACTCTGAAACATTTTTCAGCCGCAGAGAAGAAATAGTTCCTGAGTATCTGGAAAAAGAAAAAGAAAAACTGACAAATATGAGATGACAAATGAATAGTAGGTCTGAAAAATGTACTCAAATGGTACTCTCATCAAACTGAAGGTATCAAATGGGGCACAATAAGATTCAGTCCTGCATCCTGTACAAGGTTTTTATTCACTGCCCAATGAAGTAGAAAAAATGCTGGTCAGATCTGCAGATGACACAAAATTAAATGGGCTAGCTAACACTCCAGAAGATAGAAATAAAATTGAAAACTTGATAGATTAGAGAAAGGACACTGAAAGAATGAAATTTAACAGAAAAATACAACTACAAAGTTCCTTACTTAGGAAACAGAAATAAAATGCCCAGGTGTTGAAGGGTTAGTTCTGGGATTATGGTTAAAAAATCCTGGCTTAGTAATGGTGGGAAAAAAGATTTTGGAATAGCAGTTATAATCAAACTGAAAATGATTCAGCAGTGCTATGTGGCAGCAGAAAGAAAGAAAGAAAGAAAGAAAGAAAGAAAGAAAGAAAGAAAGAAAGAAAGAAAGAAAGAAAGAAAGAAAGAAAGAAAGAAAGAAAGAAA